TATGTGCTTTATCGATCTCACCAAAGCCTTTGCCCGAATAAAAATGTTCGATGTTATCAATATTTTACGGAGGAAACACATACCTGAAGCTATTATAGGAACTAACAAACAGTTAAACGTCAACACTTCGACTCACATCTTAATGAACCAATTAGACAGGGAGATTCTCTAAGCCCTCAGCTGTTTAACATCATAATAAATGAGATAATTAATCACGTCAAGAACTCGGGCAGAGGGTACAGACTTACAACTGGCGAAACAACAATCATTTGCTATGCTGACGACGCTGTGATCATAGCGGCAAGGGAGGATGACCTGCAAAGACTGTTGCACGCATTCTATGTCAAAGCTATGGCCTACAACATGCAAATATCCACTACCAAAACAAAAACACTCATAATCGCTAAAGAGCCAGTCAGATGTAAGCTCGAATTCGATAATAATTTAGTAGAGCAGGTAATGGAGTTTAACTACCTGGTAGTGCAAATAACCTCCAGTCAAAACAGAGACAATGAAGTAAGGGTGCAAGCAATCAAGGCTATCAGGGTAACAGGTGCTCTCCGAGACGTAGTATGGAACAACAAACACATGGGGAAATAGGCTAAAACTAAGATCTATAAAACTTGCGTACGACCCGTATTGACATACGCTACAGAAACCCGAGCAGACACCAGTCGAATCAAAAATTATGAGGAATATAGCAGGATACACTCTAAGAGACAGGAAAAGGAACACTGACATAAGAAACGAGTGCGAGATCGAGGACATAGTCAGATGGGGACGGAAACGTCGTAGGGTCTGGAATGATCACTAGAATGAATATGGACAGGGGAGCAAAAATTGCTCGAGAAGGGTTTCCGGAGACAAGCCTGGCCTGACCACTGGGCAGACCTCCCAAAAGATGGAAATACTCCTGGGCATCCATATATCAAGAAAATTAAGTTGGAAAATACAAGCCTAAAACTTAATATATGAGGAAGAAGAAGTATTACTATTAATGTGGACTATTTAATGGTATTGTAGACTTAATAACACGCGTAAGTAATTGAAATGCTGTTACGAATACTGTGGTGCCCCTATAATAAGAGGAAGCTCGGTTAAAAGATAGACAAGAAGAAGATTATTACATTTTTCAAGATTTTGACCAACTTGATTCGTCAACAAAAATCACAGGTATATTAGTACTTCTTTTCCATCCGAGAGATTATTTTCCTAAACGGGCGCTTTCATAAACGAGCGAAGAATTAGACTTAGTCAAAAGCATACGCAAAAAAATAGAAGAGAGAAAAATATTCTTAAATGTTAATTCATTTTTAAATAAAAATTAGATTTTTAAACATTCTCGCATGCAAAGCGTTTATTATGTACACTAGGTACACTAAATAACAACTCTACGAAGTAGTTATTTATGACTCATGTGTTGTGTTTGTTTTTAGAATAAATCTTTAGTTTACCAATGGTTAT